ATCAAGTCTTCACATCCACATTTTTTTTTTAAGCACATCAACGCATATTGGCTGTCAGTCATTCTGACGACTTCCCTATTTACAAGTCGGCGCATGCTCCCGTAGCGAAGAGGAAAATGCTTTGCTGAGCGCCGAGAAGACAATCAATGATTGGATTTGGGTTTGTCGCCACCGGCGGCAGACCCTCTTGGGCATATTCAAGTCATCAAATCGGTGCCAAGCTGGCTGGCATTTTGACTTCATCGCTGGAATGAGTACAAAGAGGTCTCGTCGAGGGACTCGCGCAGCGCGACGACAAATCTAAGGGAGGCGAGACGTCAATAAGCTGCAGGGGACGTCGGTCAGATGAGCCTGAGTGCAGATGGTCGGATATGAGGCCACGGGGAGATTACTCGTGCAGTGAAGCACCAACAGGAGTGCAAGAATATAATCCAACATCTGTGGCAGGGGTCACTGGGGCCACGCAATCTATAATATGTATATGCGTTTACCGGCATGAGAAAGACTAGGAAATTAATCAAAGGGCCTGTAAAATGTGACGCGAACGAGCAAATATGACAGACTTACTGCCCTGAAGAAACCTGGGACCTTGAAAAGTATTGACTTTTTGCAAAGGGACACCATTCAAAGTGTCCGCAGGGATGTGCTTATCCTCGACAGTACCACTTTACATAATCAATTCTGAATGGAAATTGCAGATACTCTTACTAAAGACAGATGTTTACCATGAGGAGGGAAAAAAAGGGACATGGACATTGGCTTGCAAAAGAACTCGCCCGCCCCTTTGAACCTTTTGACATTTTGCCACATTTCAGGCTTCAAAGGTGTAAAATTTGATTTGTTTTTGTGGCTTTTAAGGAAATTGTAAATTGAAAAACTCTCCAGCATGTATGTCAGACAACAGCGATCAATTTTCACCAAAATCTATGTGGCCTCTCTACTTATGCCCACTTCAACCGCTGCAAATATTACAACAATCATCCTAATATTTTCTGGATGTTGATGAGGAACCCGCTTAAGGGGGAAATCAAGTCAAAAATGTTCTATTTGGCCCCACTTATGTGAACAGGGTATTGTGATGAATATTGTATTTATGGAATACAAAATGAAGCCACAAAATCCACTCGCTTTTAGCCACTTGCTGTCAACTAAAAACGCCATCACAGTTCCTCAGGGCTAAGGTAACGACCAAGCAACTCAAAGGAGTTAACTATTGAGACACGGATTCCTCACCAAATATTTTCCTAAACAAACAAACAACTTTTGTTATATGTGTGCGTTACCCTGTGCTGTGTCCATATGGGCTGCATGCATTTGTGTCTGCAACGCAAATTATTACATAAAAACAGGCTGGCGACAACTGTGAAAAGAACACACTGTCTGCGCACATTCGCCAGCCGCAATCGAGCATGTCTATTGTACCGCATTTCACGGTTGCCCCTTCGCACCGAGGAGAACCGGGACTCGCGTTTCACAGTTGCCACTGTAGCCATGGAAACAGCACAAAGACATCTGTCCTACACAACTTTCGGAGAAATCTCCAAATGAAGCATGGACGTAGGCGGAGTGACATGAAGACGAGGAGGTCGGAATGATTAGGGTCCTAATAGGTGTCTGGGTGGGTATATGTGTGTGTGTGTGTGTGTGTGTGTGTGTGTGTGTGTGTGTGTGTGTGTGTGTGTGTGTGTGTGTGTGTGTGTGTGTGTTGTACAGCGGGGCTGTTTGTGTGTCCCTTACCTGATGAATGATTTCAGACACTGGCAGCTGATCCACGTACGAGCGCGACTCATTTTGCAGCTCCCCGCTTTCGGAACTGCGGGGGGGGGGGAGCAAACAAACTATTTAAAAAAAAAAAAAAAAAAAAGGGCATAATTTTTCCATGGGTATCATATTTCCTAAAACAGTTAACGAATATTTGTGTGATCACAGGGGATATGGACTTGTAAGTTTTACAAAGGATTGTGAGAGCATGTCCACAAGCAGCGTTTTGCGAGCACAAATCCAATCTTTAATGACAACAATTTCATACGGTGTAACGATTGGTGGTGCCGTGTCTCTGTGTGAAACCAGGCTGTTGCTGTAATATCGCGCTTTTCCGGCTGATGCTGCACTATCCTGCCTTTGCTGGTTTCAGTGTAAAAGGCAAAAGCAGGCCGACTGTTCTGTGATAGCTCTCAAAGCATTTGTGCGTACAGGGCTGGCAAGAATCCATTAAATTTGTTACAATGGAACCACTTTTCCGATGCTGCACTATCCTGCCTTTGCTGGTTTCAGTGTAAAAGGCAAAAGCAGGCCGACTGTTCTGTGATAGCTCTAAAAGCATTTGTGCATACAGGGCTGGCGAGAATCCATTAAATTTGTTACGATGGAACCACTTTTCTGAACAATCAGATTTAATCGTGTTTCTTTTCTTGCAGGTGCCCTTCAAATGTAATTGCCATCAATTCTTCACAACAATTACGCTCTGAAAAAGCAGTATGGCTGCATACTAATGGTTGACAATTTCAATGTGGAGTTCTTCGATGGACAAAGTAGATTAAAAAAATAATAACTGAGTGACAATTTATGAACTCAAACAATGAATATAGCATCAGATAATAGAATCGATGGCGCAGCGATCACGACGACATCTCATCAGCATGCAGCACTAATTAGGCTAAGTACAACTCAATGGCGTATAAGAGCTCGTCTCCAATGATGGAGTGCTTCTACTTTTCAAACATTTTTTTTCAATTGCAAATCTTCTTGGAGCAAGACTAAACTTAAGGGATGATGAAGGAAAACCCAATGTGTTGCTCTTCTGGGCTTTAATAAGCTTCTCTTTGACTAAAATAAAAAAACAACAGCAACTGTCATAAGGTGGCTTTAACTACCTTTATTATGACTGATACGATATGTGCTGCCCATTCAATTTCCATTTCAATTGCCCAGCCCCCACTCACTGCCATACATTCTTCCAAATCTGTGAAAAATTAGTCGCTTTTTTTTTCCTCCTACTCTTATCTTAATCCAAGTGGTCTCCATGCAGGCACGGCACCACACTGCCCCTAAGAGGCCACGGCATGAATAGCAATTAGACAGTGTTTATGTTCTTTTTATTTATTTTGTGGTTGTTTTTTTAAAGCTTAGTTTTGCAAGATGAGTACATACTGAGTCTTGAAATCAATGAATAATCATAATTTCAATATCAATCAAACTAATCACGACAGAGTTTTTGTGTGAATATTCGTTATTTGCAGGAATATCACTCCCGGAAGGTGATGGTAATTTTCTATTAGCGTGTCAATAACATTTTCCTGACTGCTGGCATTAGCACTGCCGATGTTTCTAAAACAAAGTATCTTGTATTTATATATAAGTCGTGTGCGATTGTTTATGTTGTGCATTGAGTTTAACAGTACATTTCAATTGGGGTGTCATTAAAAACAATTTAAAGCATCGCCCAGCCCTCAGTGGTTATTATCGTCGTCGACCATGCAGCGACCGAGGTTGTCACTCACAGTGTGTTTTTGTTTTGTCCACTACTACTATCAGTCAAATGCAGAAGTCAAATGTGTGTGTGTGTACGTGTGTGCTCGCGACAAATAAGGATGATTCCGAAAACGAAATAAATGGCCCCAGGTCCACAACACGATGAGGCAATTCAATTGAGAGCACTTTCCACTTTATTATGGATATCTCTCAAACGGGCGGAGCCTTGCTGTCTGCAGCTGCCATCTTCAGGTCAAACTAACTCCCCTTTAATGTAAGCTCCACTACAAAATTTTGGCTGACTGGGTCACTAATCAAATCAATCAATCCACGAATCACTTGGAAAATGAACTCGGCGATCATTATGGCGAAACCCTCATTCGCCCATGTTTTTTGGTCAACAGGATGTGACTAACGCCGCACAAGGTCATTATATTGTTCGGGCCTGCGTACAAAAAAGAAGGAATGGCATGCTTTATGAATGGGTCCTCTCAATCAATTGCAATTCACTTAATGGAAGAGCAGCTTGCGGCGAGCCAAAATGGCCTCTTGGAGAGGGCTGCAATGAGAGAGGAGGAGTGAAGAGTAGCCCAAAAGTATCGATTAATGCAGTTCAATTTTTAATAAGATCCTGTTGACACGTCTCATTAAATAAAAATGTGGAACATTGAATACACCACGCACCCATTTAGTTGAAATCAGATATTCGCCAAATATGGTGTGCCCTTCAAGGAGAGCACAGGATTATTAAACTTTACATGCCATTTAATTGGTCTCGGTCGAGTCCAACCCCCTGCTACATCTATTCATTGAAAACAGGGGTGTCCAACTGCTCTGATTCCTAGTTGCAATATGATGTATAATACGGGCAAACAATGCAGTGTTTGGTAACTCAGGCAAGCTTTTTTTGGGGGGCTTTTTTTTTCGTCCTTGAAATGTAGAAATTTTAGTCATGTGAGGATTCAGCTAGACAGCGATGATACAGTTTAATTGAACAGACTCCCCACTCTCAAATAATGGTGCACCACCCTAAGGATGCATGTGATAACTTATTCAAGTGCACATATCATTTAATTAGCTCGGACTGACTCTCCCACCCATCGTCCACTGGTGGGAATCACATAGCGTATTTCAAAACTGTGGTGCACCCTTCGGGGGCTGCATAAGCCAACTACAGTGTCGTTTAACTTTGTGTTCCATTTAATTGGCCAGGAAGACTTTTCAACCCAGTGGTTTAACTTGGGGATTTGTAAATTGAGGAGACGCCCTCGAGGGGGTGCAGGAGATAAAATACCATTCAATTGGCATAGACTGACTCATCCTTGCACCCGCTGGTTTAAATCGGGTATTCCCAAAATGTAGTCCATCCTCCAAAGGGTGCATTGAAATAAAAAATACCACATTTAAAAAAAATTAAAAAAAAGGTCTAATTAGACCGGACTAACGCTATACAGGTTGCGTGTGCCTTGTGCAAAGGGGAGGGCATGCCATCTCTATGGCAACACACGGAGCTCCCCGTTTTCATTTGTGTTATCTGACTTCCCCAGTGGCGCTCCAGCAGTGAAGGAACAGTTTGGTTCTTTTTATTTATTTATTTACAGGAAGAAGGGAGACTCTGGAAAGCGGTGGCAGCAAATGAATTGACCTATTTTAAGTCTTTTTTTTTTGTACCCCCAACACCCATAAAGAAAAAAAATTCCCAAGGGTAATTTTCATGAGGCAAGCGTGCCTCGCTGCCAACGTGACTTTCATTATTACTTCAATATGCAAGTTAGTTTCTCATTTGTGATATGTCTAAAAATACCCCAACAACTCACACAGCCCTTAAAAACATTTTTTTAAAAAGTGCACTGCATGATGATTGCTGGGGTGCAGTCAAAAGTAGTGACTAAATTAATTTGCGTCTGTTGTTTGGGTTTCTAATTAAAAGACTACTGAAGTAATTTAGTGCTGAAATTCATTTGTGTCTCGACAAGTAAGCATTTGCAACCAGGGCAAATGTTTGTGCTTGTGTGCCTATTCACGTACTATCCTTATTTATTTTTATTTTTGGTGACTTACCTTGATTCAAAGTATCTTTATTGATTCTAAGCTTCATCTTTTCTTTAATTTTTTTTTCTGAAGAGATTTTAAGCATCTCAACCTTGCACATCAGGTTGCTTTGCCCAACAAAAAAGAAGCAAGCAGGCAATCATGAGGGGCTGAGAAGAAGAAAAAACAAAAAAAGACAAAAGAAGGAATTGAAAATATAAAGCATCTGCGAGGTTGAACTGCGAATAAAACTTGGTGCACCAGTACAAGAATTGCAACATCTCTCTCTGGGATCAAATTGGGGCAACTCGATAAAGCTGGGCGAGTGTTTCTGCTCTGCATTATTGATCTGCTGGTTACTAATCAATAATAAAGTAATATGGGAAGATGTGTGTTGCCATGGGGAACCGAAACAGCCAATGACTAAAATGGGAATGGCAAGCGCATCTAATTACTAATAAGAGGCAGTAAATATGATTGCTGTTTGCCTTCAGTCCTCGCCCGAGTTCAATTCTAGTGTAGTTGAGTGAAGTAGACGTATTGTGCCATCTTGTGGTAAAATGGGCTAAGAAATTAAATTACCCGATAGAGACAGTCAAAAGGATATTGAAGAGTCTCTACATAAAATGGGCTAAGAAATTAAATTACCCGATAGAGACCTTAACAGTTAAAAGGATATTGAAGGGTCTCTACAACCATCTAGTGGTTGGTGGCTTGTTACTACACCCTAAATTTTTTTGTGCAACTTCCTGTACACAAAGGGCTAGAATGTGAATTCAGAACTCTTGTGTGTCAGAACAGCAGTGGATAGTAGTCGACATGCCGCTGTTCAAATGCCGGGTTATTGTGATATGAAAAATTGACACCAAGATGAATGGTTTCAAAACTTTTAGATAAGCGTGATTTGCACATGTGCGCATACCCTCTTCAAATCGGAATTAGATCTGCTGTTTTGGTTACCAAAAGGAGTTCAAGTGGGCTCGGCAATTAACTTTGAGACTGCAATAATGGCCTCTGCGTATTGCAAGGACATGCAGTACGATTCATATGCAATTGTGTGGGTTTTTTTTTAATTTGACTTTGACGAATCAGATGCACTGCGTATTCCATCTGGGGGCATTACTAACACTACATAACTTAAAATTGCAAGTTATTACATTTAATTAGCCAAGGTTGCTTTGTATGGACAACAGCGTCTATTTACTTTGTACTTCCTGAGGGGGAGTATTTATTTGTCGTTGGAACTAGGGAGTATTTGGCTTACTTGTCTTCCATCGGGGTTATGGGCTCGGTCAAGTTGATGGTTTCCACGGTGATCTCCACCTTGCGGACGCTACCAAAGAAATCGGTGATGAGGACGCTTCCCGGGTCGCGCTGGAACAGGTCGGTGCGGCGGCCCGGAGTGGACACGCACTGGCTCTTGGGACAAACTTTGAACTGCGGGGACACAAAGAAGTTAGACACGCTCTCCATCGCAAATTATCGAGTTCTCTGTCATACTGTTATTCAGCGGTCGGCCAAACAGAATTGGGAGAGAGGATTGCAACCCAGAATGCACTGCTGCAGGTCTGACAAATCGGTCACATTGATCTCAAAAAGGCACCGGAACAAAAGTAATGGGGAAAAGTAATTAGTTTGAGGTCACAAATGAAAGGTTGAGACTATTTCCTCAGGCCATTGAATATTTGCTGGAATTGGGGAGAGGGAGGAAGAAATGCGGGCGCTGCCAAGCTAGACCCGCGAATCAGATCAGCATGAAGCCAACATTAGAACCATGTCAAAAGTCACAGCCCTTGAACGTATTATATTTTCTGTTTCATGTCCCGCCAGCCAATCCTGCGTGAGACTTTCATCTGGCGATTTTTTAAGTCCACAGAGATTTTAGCAGGAGATAAAACAGGAAGGCAGTCCTTGTAGAACTCTTCGACGCTGGCAAACATTTCAAGGAGACGTCTGCTTTTCACAAATTAAAATTATCCAGGTGTATTGATGTGCGACACGCTTCAGTCAAAATGCCTCCACAATCGAGAATAACAGCATTCTTTTCACCATATTTTTGTCACCACATTGTCTCATGACGTAGATGAAATGATTCGCTGCTAAATAGAGCACCCGAAAGCCGTCTTCGCTATTCCTTTCCTGTTTAATCGGTGGGACCAAAATCAGCGTGAGCGGGTTACTAATTGCAATTTTGCCCCCCCCCCCCAAAAAAAAACGTCATAGTCCCAAAACAATTTGAATCCACTTTGATCATATTGGGAAATGGTATATGAAGTGCACTTATATAGCGCTTTATCGACAGATCATTTGAATCAGATGTGTTGGAGGAGGGAGACCTCTCCAAAACAGATCGACAAGTCCACTTTGTGAGGATCTGGACTTTTTAAACATCATGCAATATTCTTCGTTATCAATTGTGACTATCCCAGATGCTGGCAAAAGCACCAGACATCCAATCACAGCGGCGCCTTGAGATACATGTTTTATTCACGGCGTGACCACGCTGGTAAGTCAAAACACTCCCGTCTCAAATCATTTCAGCATTCCAAAAAATAAATCCAACACAGTATTCTGAAAAATGTGACTCTGTAATGTTGCATACTCAAAAATAATAGAGCAAGAACATAAAAAGAATGTAAAGATATAAACAGTTTTGCATCAAGAATAACACAATGCGTCTCCTTCTGCTGTGCAAGACTTGGCCATCAGGGGGCAGTATGATAGTCACTGAGACACAAAGGAAGAAGAGTTTCACAACTACTCGAAGTAACGGTGTGGCAGAAGAAGGGAAATGAGCTCACCAGATCATTCATATTGGTTTTGCTGGCAGGGTGGATGTCTTCAAGGAACTCCAGCATGTAGAAAGTGTAACGATCCATCAGATGGACTCCGATGGCCAAATCTGGTTGGTGCTGCAAGATGGTACATCTTCGGACTTTCACAATCACGCGGACAATCATGTGAATGTTTAACGCACACATATTCATGCAAGCAGGAAACCCACCGACAAGGAGTCTTCTCCGATTTGACTGCTGGCCAGAGCCATGATGTTTGGCGAGTACAACCTCTCGTACATGGAGGCTCCCTGACAGGTGTCGATGATGAAAAGCAGCTCGTTGTACCTGCCAACACACGTACAGCGAGTCAAAGGAGTAATCCTCGAGTGGGAGAGAACATTTCACACACACGCGCGCACACGGCCTTAAAACCATCTTTCATTGAGCTGTTGCTATGGCAACTAAGAAAAGTCTGGCTCCTGGCTCCCCCCCGCCCCCCCTTCTCACCCTTCATAAAAAAAATTTTCTCAAATAGTGGGAGCAAAACTAACAGTCCACATGCTTCATCCAGACAAACGCCTCCATCAAGTAGACGTTTCTCTTCCCGCAGTAACGTGCCGATGGCATCTTCTAAGATGAGCTTGTCAAGTGGACTCTGACATGAGGTGCCTCCACTATGTTGTGTTTATCCATGATTATGTTGCAGGGAACTTTTAGTTGACATGAGTGTAGTGGAAGATTTTTTTAAGTAGATACCATCTGCAGTCTCGTAAATAGTGGCAGTAGGCAGTAAGCAAGCATACACTAATACCTCTTTTTTAGATTGAGTACAAGTACAGTCGAACGTTTCAGAGTACCCCGTTTACGCTTTCACCCCTATAACGGTCACATTTCAAATTTGCTGTTGCGGCTATGTGACAAAAAGCACTGCTGCCTCGACCTACGTCACGACGCGAGCAAAGTTCTTGCATTTGCAGAGCATCAGTTGGTGTTTTTCTTAAAATATTGGTGTTGTAGTATCCAGAGCATTTTTCTGCGCCCACATACGAGTACATTCGTACAGTATCTGCACCAAAACTGATACTGGTATTGGTGCATTTCTAGTAGAAAGTGCAATGATATTTGTTCAAAGACACAATGCCTTGCTACACAAAACAGCAAAACCTACCAATACGTGTAAATAGTCAGTGTGCGTGTAGTGAATGTGCAATAATTAGGGTTCCACGATGACATGATTGCTTCAGAATATTCTGTGCAGATACTCATGTTGAATTTCTTGGGATCTCACACATTGCTTCGATTATTTACAAGGACATCATTTACCTTCTTTTTTGCCACATCTGCTCAAATGCGTCCGCCAACTCAATATTGCTGATCTCCTCAAAGTCCTGGAACTTTAAGAAGCCATTTCCACCATGTCCTTTACAACACACATGGATACATTTTTTCAACAATGTATTAAATCTGTTCATATTAAAGAACTACTGCTTCAGCAGAAAAACATGAATTTAAAAATAATAAACTGTGTTGGGCCATTACGGGTCTGTAAGGCGTCTTCAACAGGTGAGTAGTTTATATTGTTTTATTTTACTGCAGTTAACTTGTTTTGACACCTGTGTGACAGTAAAGAATGTTAAAATGTAACCTCCAACAGGGCCTGTACAGTTAATAAAGGTTTGATGTCAGTTTGACATTTTATACTATTGTACCTGTCAGGTAAATGAGGATGTTGCTTCGATCATCAGACAGGAGACGCTTGGAGCGGGGCGTGCTTGGAGGAAGCCTCCCGGTCAGAACTCGCAAAAAATTCTCTACGCTCACCTAGAACATGAGCACAGCAAGATTACACAGGTTCACCATACAAATACCTAGATGTAAAGGTGGCAGGAACTTTAGTTGGAAAAGTGGCTTGAATTTGGGTCTTTCCAAACGCACTTCATAACCTCGGTAGTCCACCTCCACATCATCACCATAGACGTTCAGTTCCATGTTCTTGTGGCTGAACACGGTGGCTGGCTTCGGGTTCCTGTGGTTGCAAGCCATGTCGTCGGCCAGCATCAGCACGATCTGACTGGTAGACCAGACAAAACGTAAAATAATCTATTGCTAATTGCTAACAGTAAGAATGGTAACGTGTAGCAAAATTGTGATCTGAAAATGACAAATTATTTGAAATGGTTTCAAATGAAAATGAAATCACACGGGCTAAGTTTGCGGACGTCAAATAATCACACTCCAAAAACAGGTGAGTAGCGATTCTAGAGGTCAACAGGAAGTCTTTTGATCTTTTTTTTTTTTCGTCATCATTTCAATTCAGGTCGCTGCTCGATCACGTTATCTGCTACCTTGGCGCCTATTGATGACAAAATTTGAAACCGGAAATATTTTATTCGAAAGAAAAGTATTTATACCTATCAGGGATACCAAGACGTTTCACGCTCCTGTACACGGACAGGGTGTTGGCCACATGACGATAGTTGAACCAGAATCTGGACGTGCACGCCTGTTAAAAACACACATGTACAGAGAAGTGAGAAAGGAATGCATAAGAGCATTTCTACATTGTAAACAAAAAGTGTTCAAAGCAGCGCTCCATCACTGTGTGCACAGACCAGAATCGCCCAGTTGTTGGTGTGACCGCTGTTGAAGAACTGCTCCGCCGAGTTCTGGTTTCAAAAGTGAGAAAAGACGAAAGAAATGAATACGTTTTAAATAGTATGTCAGTTAAGAGAACTGAGCAGAAGATGACAGCACGGCAAGCGAACATGAAAAGGATCGAAACATGACAGCGAGCATGATGGCACAGGAGGCTAACTGGTGAAACGCGTCACCCAAATAATAAAAGAATAAAACAATCAGGATTTATCAGCACGGAGTGACGCTTACCGCGACATTGATGCCGTCCGTTGAGAAAAAGATGCTCAATAAAATTGCTAGAGTAGGAATTTTCATGATGTATCCGTGCAAAGTGCGAAACCAGGAAGGCGAAGAGAAAAGCATATAGGTCATTCGAATGAGTACATCCGGTTGGGACGTGTCAAAATAAGAGCATAACACGTTTTACCTGGTGTGACTATCACGTCATTCATAAAGAAAATATTGTACTTTTATGTAGTTTATGACACGACGACCGTGTGGCCTTGGCAATTAATACTGTATATGTAAAAACGAATGTTTTGTGAGAACAAGGTCAAAGACTCTACCAGTTCAGTGGCGGTGGGGATTTAAAAATAGAGTTCAAATCCGAGCATTTTTCACACCACTTTATACTTTTACTTCCCACATTTGACCAAAAATATCTGTACTATCAATTAATGAACTATTCATTTCCCAAAGACAGATTCGTGCAAAACGTGGCCATGCTAATTTTAGGCATCTATGACTCCTTACTCGGCATGTACGCCTTCAAACATGTTACACAAATGATTTCTTATTAACTCACTGCTAATATAGCTTCGAGTTAATAAGAAATCATTAATGGTTTACAAGGAAGCCTTTTAAAGTCCCATGCATTCAGTCACAGTCACAGATCCAGTACTGCAAAGCGTGAGAATGGCGACGCCAAGCGGCCCAATAATACTTGTACCTGACAAAATAAAATACTGTACCGTAAATACTGTTTACAGTATCATCGCTACTATGAGGATTTCGTCTATCTTGAGGCTGGTCTGCGGGGGTTACTCTAGGAATCGTTTTTATTTTAACAAATACAATTTTATTGTAACACCTATATTATTCATGATCAATCCCAACTTTATTCTGGTAAAACTGCATCTTTTCTTGTAAAATCCCTTTACTTTGGAGAAATTACTGTATTTTCTCATAAGAATACATTCTTGAAGTTTTCATTTTCTGTTTTACAAAAAAAAAAAAAGTGACGAATGTGCCGGAGTTTAATATTTTGTGTAGACCAGCGTCAGGGGGGACGGCCGAGGTCCGCATTTGCACCAGGAAGGAAGATGTGGGAGGAGGGGGAGAGAAAGGATGGAGAGGGAGGCATGAGAGAGTGAGTGAGGAGAAGGAGGAGGAGGAGGAGGAGGGTGCCGTGTCTGTGGCTGCGCCTGCAGGAATCCGTTCGGAGAGCGCACGCGACACGGCCACGATGCTCTCTGAGCTTGCGGTGGTGTGACTTGTCGAGAGTCGCCGAGGAGCAAAAAAATAAAATAAAAAAATATTTTTTAAAAACCGAGACTATTCGAAGGCAAACAAGTTGTAATTCTCAGAGGAGATGAGCACCAACGATGCCAAGGAGTATCTGGCTCGGCGGGAGATACCTCAACTATTTGAGGTGAGGCACGGAGGCATGCATGGAGATGACGTGCACGGTTCTCGCTGTGGTATTTTGCGTTTCCAAACATGGACAGAGAAGAGAGATTATTCATGGGATGCTTCAAGTGAAATACACCCATCAAGACGTCTTCTTGCCTGCTTCCATTAATTGTTTAAGTGGTAATCCCATTAAGTGTGATGCATGTTGGACACAGTGTTCCTTACAAAAAAGGCCAATACAATGAAACCATGAATTATTCATTTTTACTTTCTTGTTCTGTTATGTAATGTAGCTTTACAATAACCTAGAACTGAATTTATTAGTTTGCCGGCAAGAAAAAAGTCATACAATTATGAGACTGAAGTCATATTTTCTTTTTTTTTTGTCACCAAAAATTATATGTTGTTGTTTTAATGATGTCATGAATGTAGCATTCATTATTTTTGTGTTTCCCTAAAACGTCTTTATACGCTTTACTCGGTCTTGAAAAAAAATGACTAAGATCCTTTATTTTCCCCATTAAAACCGTGGCCTCATAATTATACCAGTTTCTGCTCATAACAATTTTGTGATGGACATATGACTTAACTCTCAAAACACACCACAACATAATTTTAATTTCCAGTGCGATGGCCCCAACACTGCTTGGGAAGTTTTGCGCAGAAAAGCATAGGAGCGACCGTATAACCGCCATAATGATAATCATGAAATCCATTCATACTCCTGAAGGCGTGCAGCAAATGGGCTGATGTTCTTAATTACGCCTCACTTATGAGCAATCGTCAACTACCAGAAAGCAATCACAGGCGTGTTTTATTGCTTACTGCCGACTGTTATTTCAGCGCGCTGATAACGATGCCGCAAAATAGGTGTTTTCTTTAATTGGAGGAAGTCGATGATGCTTCCACAGCATGACTCACCATATTTACCTTTAGAGCCTGCTGACAGGTCTGATGTACCACCGGCCCGATGACCCCGTGGACTACCTGGAGGGCTGCCTGAAAAAAGTGCGCGAGCTGGGCGGGCCAGACAAGGTGCGATGGGACACGTTCGTGGGCCAAGAGAAAAAGTCGCTGCCGCCCATCAACGGTGGCCAGTCACGACGCTCGCTCTTCAGAAACGGTGAGGGCTGTCATTGCAATCATTCTGATCAAATTACAAAACGGTATGGATTAAGTCGATCGGTAATTTTCAAAGTGTGGTAGTATTCGCATCAGTTGTACGCGGGCTCCCTCTCGTGGTATGCGGAAGAATGACCGCACAAGTACAGTTCAGTTGTATTTAACTTTTTGGTGCAATACATTTGCATTGAATCTTTCACAAAGGCATTAGTGTGAAAGAAGAAGAAGCTAAATCTATTTTAGACATCACAACATCAGTTCGAATGCTTGACTTTCAGCATTTACACAACAGAAAAATAGTTTCTTAGCCCAAACACATCTGATGCTTGAGTGTCTTCTCAAGACAATCTTTAGACACAACAACAGCTGACGTGTCAATTATTGTCGCTGCATTCAGACAATAGGAAGAACCGTTTTGTTTTTTTTTTTTTGTTTTTAAGAACAAGCGCATTCATGCCAATGCTGCTCTCTCAGCATTCAGGTCATAACGATAATAACAAGAAGAAGTAGCAAATTAATCTCATCCGGACAAAAGCATTCTTTTAGCATTCTCAGACCGACGAAGACATTTCCAAGCACAAGTGTTTGTGTGAATGCTGAGAGACGAGCATGAATGATAAAACAAGACGACAAATCTTTTTGGGTGACTCCAATGACGACCGCGGGAATGCCAAACTCCGTGTTTGTTGACTCATCCGTTACTTAGCATGAAAGGAAGCATCTCTCATTCCAATCTGTGGTGTTGATATTTGATCTGTAGCTTCTGGAAATCCCTTTTCAGGATGCACGATGGAGTCTACCACAAGATTTGTGTTAGGTTTGTTGAGATTAGAACGCCAGCACGAATTTTATTGAGTTCCAGTCTCGGACCCATCTGTGCTGTGATTTAATCCCTCTAGAAAGTGCCACAGGGCATAAATCTCAACGGGCGGCCTCTTGCAAGGCACACAAAGCAACACACTCAGTCATGACGGTGCAATCATACATTATTGTTATTATTACATATGATGAGCATTTCAGTTTTTGTGGACCGTATATTGGTCTCGGGTCGTAAATTGCCTACCATGGCCAATCCGATAGACCGTTTAATGATTAACCCCAAAAAATGACGCCTAGGGAATGCAAAACATGTTCAGAATTTGCAACTCAAAACACAGCTGTCATCATGGCTGTTATCTTTTTTTTTTTTTTTTAATGATACAGACATGCCCTTTCTTTGTTCGAAAGAATTGGCTCCAACTAGCCATGCAATTTTAACCCTTTCATGCACTCTGTAACCTGATAACATGATAAGCTGTCCCTTTTATAGTTACTGTGATGGACAGCTGAGTCGTGTGTGGTGATGACATTTTACGACACGCACATATGCTAACGCATGTATGTGTGCGCATGCGTGTATATGTGCGTGTGTGTGTGTGTGTGTGTGTGTGTGTGTGTGTGTGTGTGTGTGTGTGTGTGTGTGTGTGTGTGTGTGTGCGTGCGTGACAGTGATGCCCGACAGTCCCAATTTCCCCTACAGACGCTACGAGCGCCTCCCTCCCATCAGCCAGTTCTCCATCGAGAGCGACTCGGACCTGTCGGAGACGGCCGAGCTCATCGAGGAGTACGAAGTGTTTGATCCATCCAGGCCACGGCCCAAAGTCATCCTCGTTATCGGTAAACAACAAGCAGCGCTCAGTTGATGTTGTCGATTTGTCTCGTACTGATTTTTTGAATTATTATTATTATTAGGTGATACGACAATCAGTCCTGTGATACATTTGAGTTGTACAACTAGGAGTAAAGTAGAAGACAAATCTGTCTTTTAGACACAACGGTCAAGGTGAATATTTGTCTTTTATAATAACCATGAAAAAAAACAAAAAACAAAACAAGACACGAGTTTGAATGCTAGTCTCTCTGCATTTACTTAAAAAAGAATAATGAAGTCAAACGAATTTCTTCAGACACAACAAAAGCCGTGTGAATGCTTGTCTCGGCCTTCGCCCGACAGGAAGTCTTTAAAATGCTCGTCTCTCTCTCGGCAACTACTCAATAATAAGAACCAGAAGGGGAGGTAGAAGACAAAACTAATTGACAACATCAGAATGTTTTCTCGTTCTTCACACAACACGAAGACCTTTTCAAATACAATAGCATGAGTGTGCATGCTGGTCTTTCAGCATCAAATAATAACCGGAAGAAAATGTCGAGGATCGATTTCTCGCAGCAACGTCTGTGTGAATGCTGGTCGTCAGTCACACAACAGGAAGAAAGCTTTCCAACCCAAACGCTTCAGCGTGAACGATAGTCTCTCGGCATTTACTTAATAATAAAACTAGAAGAAGAAGTAGACACCAACAACAACGTGAATGCTTGTCCCGACAGACACAGAGAGAGAGAGTACTTTGTGAAAAGCACAGAATCATTCGGATGAATGCAGCATTTGCTTAGTAATACTCAAATAAGAGCGCAAACTATATTTTCGATTCTGTCCAGAACCTTCCAGACCTTGATGGCATCATGCAAGGTGACACGCAAATTATTGCTTTTGCGGGCCACATAAAATGATGTGGCGGGTCGGATCTGGCCCCCGGGCCTTGAGTTTGACACCCGTGTTTTAGAAACACCAACATCAGTGCGAACGCTGGTCGCTC